AGCTACTACTAGTAACAAGGACGCTACTAGGCGCAAAGAGCATCGCTACTAGGAGCAAGGACGCTACTAGGGGCGCCTGGCCGTACTACTAGGAACAAGGACGCTAGTAGCTTTTTGCTACTAAGTTAAGACGGCGCCATAAAGAAGCCGTCAAATGCCATAAGAGCTGCGTGAAGACCTAGCTAAAGAGGTGGTGCGCGCAATGAAAGGAAACCGGATAGGATTGGCCTCCAACCTACTAGCGATGAAAGGAAACCAATAGGACGCAATCCTTTAACAAGCTGAACCTTTACGGCGTTCAGATGATGCGAGACATGTCTTGGAAAGAGGAGCGAGAGAGATAGAGGGATGGAGATAGAGAGAGAGAGAGAGACGAAGAAGATAGGAAGGTTTGCACAGTATCATGACGCTATTAGGAACGAGTGCCACACTAGTAGTAACAAGTGCCTTACTAGTAGTAAAAAGCAGCTACTAGGAGCAAAGGGGCATCGCTACTAGTAACAAGGAAGCTACTAGGGGCCTTGGCCTTGCTACTAGGAACAAGAACGCTAGTAGGTTCTTTGCTTGTTTAGGAGAAACCATGTTGGACCAAGACGTCGCTTGAGCAACTTTGAGGTTGTCTTTGGGATCAAGGCTTACATGGCCTAATGCTGTGTCGGTGGCACCCCAGAGTCTTCTTCGCCCTTCAGCAGCAACTAGAGTGTTTTGCCCTTGCCAAGACTGCAACAGGGCACCGCCAGGTTGGAGGCAATCGCTATTAGGTTCTTTCATTTCTGTTTTTTTCAATTGACAAGACGCCTACGTTTTGTTTGGGCCAGGGGGGGTTCCGGGGTGGAAGCTAACTCACAACTGCTGCTCAACAAAGGCAAAGGAGGACGAGGTCGCAGAAAAAGCGAGGATCTCATATGATCCTGGCGTCTAATTCAAACAACAACGAGAAGTTGTGGCCTGCAACCTACTAGCGTCCTTGCTCCTAGTAGCGATGCCTTTTGCTCCTAGTAGCGTCCTTGCTCCTAGTAGTAAGGCCAGGAGCCCCTAGTAGTGTCCTCCTAGTGTGAAACGATTCCCCAGGACGCCGCTAGTTACTAGTAGCTTCAAAGACCGTTCGTGGTAGCGTCCTTGCTCCTAATTCGTCAGTTTGGCACTCCCAATGAGGATGTGTTGGCGCATTGGCTGGAGCTTCAAGAGCCATCAGGCTGGATCCCACGTGAAGTGCCTTTGGGGTCTGAGCAGGAAATCCGAGTGCCACAGCAATTGGACGCTGTCACGTGCCGTCAGTGCGTGATATCGTGGGTCCGGCTACACGTCATATGGAGTCCGGCCAAAAGTCTATAATCAACAAAAGTAGATAAAGGGGTTGAAAGTAGCTTAGGATATAGTTTTTTCAATTAGGTTATGTTGCGGCCCCCCAGCTAAACACACCTATTCTGCAGCTGGACGCTAGGTTTGCGGTAGATTTGCGCTAGTGACGCTAGTGTTTGCCTTAGGACATGTTCAGAACGTCGTCAGGTTGTTGAAAAGTGGTTCGCTGAAAAATGCGCTAGCCGCGCGCTAGCATTGCGCTAGAGAGCGCGAGCAAACACTGCCAGAGTCCAGCGTGGACCCTCAAGCGTGACGCCAGGCCGAGCAAGAAGCTACTAGGGGCTCCTGGCATCGCTACTGGGAGCGTGGATGCTACTAGGAACAAAGGTTCGAGTCCAAACAGAAGACTGGAGTAGAGGTCTAGGAGCAAGGATCTCCTAGGAGTAAAGGGCATCGCTACTAGGAACAAGGGCCTTACTACTAGTAACAAGGAGCTACTAGTAACAAGAAGTGGTAGTTAGTATTAAGTTTAATTTTCATTAAGTTTAATTAGAATTAAGTAATGAGCAAAGAAATCTACGAGGACCTCTTCGCGCGCGCGCGTGTGGGGCGGGGTAGGAACAAGGACGCTACTAGGAGTGAAGGGCATCGCTACTAGGAACAAGAAGCTACTAGGTGGAGGTCACACCATAGCCTGCAGGGGTGTCTATTGGCGAGCTTTTGCAAAGCACAATTGCAAGGGTTTACAATTGTTCTTAGACCCGGTTGCACAGGTGAAGCCTGCGAAGTAGAACAGGTGTCTATAGCAAATTCTTTCCAGAAGGTGTTTTTTCAGTCAGGATGTTCTTGAATCGGACTATTCTTGTTGAGTCCATCCAGGACCCTGACATTGCAAATCCACCAAGTCTTCTATTGCCCCAGGTTTGGCTTTTGGATGCAGACGATGAGCGTGTGGAATCCTTGGCACGGCAAAGCAGATGAGCTTGACAGACTTCAAGCGCCAAGACTCACAGGGAACAGTCACAAGAAGCTACTAGGGGCTCCTGGCCTTACGACTAGGAACGACGCTACGAGGGCATTTTCGGTGACGCCGTCGGTGACGTTTGACAATTGTGATGGATTCTTTCAATGTAAACTACTGAGACGATATGAAGATATCTTCAGGTAAAACCGAATGAAATCAACAAAAGGTTTCGTGAAACACATCCGAAACCTGTAGTCGTCAGGGTTTAGAATTCCCTAAGCCTTATTTTGTCTTGGCTTTGGTGTTCCACCATTCTTGGCACTTGAGGCTTTTGGCCTTTTGGTTTTGGTGCCGGAGGGTCCCCCGCGGTATCAGCGGAGCGGAGCTCATCGGGGGGGGAGACCTGTCCCCCCCCCCTCCGCTGGGGGGGGCCCTCCGATAGCTTGCAGAAGCACTTCCAGGCCGCCTGGAGAGAGTCCGCGCTGGGGATGGGCCAAAAACCAGCGATGACTGAAGAGGAAACGCCTCAAAGACAGACAGACAAACGATGTACACCTAGGGTCTCGCAACAGTGCAATCATAGGAACTACAGCACACGAACGATGTGGAAAGCTTATGGAACTGGGCGTTTGTGGGATCGATCTTCGCTCATAACGTCCCAGATGCCACACCCCAAGCTACTGTTCATTCACGTTTGTGGAGGCCTAAACAATTCGATGGCCACTGAGGCTAGGCCATCGAATTCTTGGGAACTGTTGCCGGAGCCAACTTCAAGGGAAGGTCGGAGCGCCCAGCCGCTCTCCAGGGGGATTTGTCAAAGGCTTGTTGTCCTGATTTATACACCGATCCGACTGGGTTTCAAACTTCCAGTTCACTAGCTTGAACTAGAACACCAAATTTTAATTTAGAATTCCAGTTCACGCATGCAACAATGGCCTGAAATGCACCTTTGCCTGCTGGGCTCTCCAAGTCTTCCCCCAGAAGCTTCTGGGTCATCTTGACCTAGAGGGATGTCGTCCTCAAGGTCCACCTCCTCATCATTCGTAGGAGGTTCCTCCTCTGCTGTCCCCCGTGTGCTACTTAATTGCCACATTTGCTGCAGGAGCAGGATCGTTGTCCTGGCCGAGGCCCCTGGTCCGCTGGCCGGAGTCGGTGTGGCTTTCCCTGGCGGTTCCTGGAGGGGCCACTGAAAGAATTGACTATCCCCCTTTCAAAATTTTCTAGATAATAAGGTCTGACCGCATCCTTCGTTTCGAGTTTGATCCGGATGTAGAGGGCCGCTCCCCCAACTATTGTTTTTATTCACGTTTGTGGGGGCCAAAACAATTCGATGGCCACTGGCCCTGGGCCATCGAATTCTTGGGACCTGGTGCCCTCACGTTTTCGGAGCCAACTTCAAGAGAGATCTGTCAAAGGCTTTACATCGATCCAACTTCGAATTCACTAGCTCGAACTAGAACACCAAATTTTAATGTGGAATTCCAGTTCATGCATGCAACAATGAGCTCCTGTGAGTTTCTGGGAAGTCTTCTGTGTTGGACACCTGCTGGGGACGCTGTGGACATACCGCAAGCTGCGAGCAGCACGAACGCTTTGTGGTAGGTCGCAGAAGCCTGGGTGACAGTGCCTGAACATGCCACGCTTCCAAGTAGCGAAGGCGGGCGCAGCACCCTGTCGACCGGCAGCGCCGTCAGCTGCATTGACGGAGACACCTCTCAATGTCTTGGCCTCAATGGTGCCTCTACCAATACATCCGGTGCATACGACGGGCAGAGTGCACTGGCTATGTGCAACAAGCACGAAGTATCCGAACTACAAAGTCATTGTCTCCAGCAAAGCCGAGGAGGGGAACGAGGCCGTGTTCATGATGGTCAAGTGTAACGCCATCCCGCCGGTGGACATTGGCGTGGACAGTGTGATTCAGATTTGCCACGCAGAGCTTCGCAATGCATATACCAAACGGACTGATGGGACGATCGCCGAGCAGGCTCTTTTCCCAAGACTGTGCTCTCGCGAACTATCTGTCAACCTGAGCGCAGGATCGCGCAAAAGGGGGCGCTCGGTGGCGTCCCTTGGCTGCATCTGTGAACAGGAGCAGGATGAGCATCGGTTCTGGTTGTGCATGGTATAGGAGAGCCGTCAGGGGCCGCATGTGGATCTTGCATAGTAGCGTTGCATATCCTTGGCGTGCACTGGGGGGCAGGGGGGAGGCCCTGGTGCAGGTTGGCCGTGGGCGTGGGTAGGAAAATGACGCGGCAGAAAACATGAGTGTGCGAAGGACGGATGGGGCAATGTATGGGGAACTGCTTGCGCAATAAGGTCGGAAATTCGCGTTTTGACCGGCGAGTACCTGGAGTATCCGGTAGCATCATTCAGCGTGCTGCCAAGCTTGGCACAGGCGGAAGTCCCTGTTGAGGGCGAGGTGTTCGTTGGGGCCAAGATGAAGATCCGAGACGTTGCCGAAGTTGTTATGGTTGATGAGCGGCCTCGGCGGTCCATCCAGGTCAGTGACGCGGGAAGTGGGGAGAGCGCAGCTGCCTGTGCCTTGCCTGCTAAGGTGTTTCCTAGATTGTGCGAAGTAGCAAATTGGTAGAGGATCGGGCATGTGCATTTCCCATGGCCCATCATTTGGTGACCATAGCTTGTTAGCAGGGCTCAATGCAGTCTTACTATCAAGGGGGTTAGCCGTGTTGCGCGGAACTGAAGCGGTGGCCCAGGCAATGTGGTCTTGTACGAAGGGCACGCAAACTCGCCGCTGCTCGTCCGGGGCAACGAGGTGTGCATCCTTGGGCTGTCGGTGTCCCAGAGAGGATATCATGCCTGCGGCATGGCAATGATTTTGCCTTGGGAGGAGGAGGAGTGAGCCGGCTCCTGGCGGTGCGTAAGCCACTTGTTTCAAGTGTGTGTGGTTCTTCTGCGGCGCTCCTCGCTGAACAATCACACCAGCATAGAGGCATAGAGGCATCGATCGACTAGAAAGTATTCTGGATCGAGCGGGCAGAGGCACCATCAAGTTGAAGAGCATTTGTTTTCGCGTCACGCCAGCAGCGCGGGAACCGGGAACCATGTGACAGAAGCATGAACGAACTGTGGCTGCAGGGTTTTTTCAGCCTTAGGCTTTTTCCCTGTCACGTGAAAAAGCAGTGGCCGCGCGCGTGAGAGAGTGCCCGAGCAGAGACCCAGGTATATAGCTGGTCCAAGATGTTACAGCATGTTTTTTCGGACCGGGCTCCAAGAGGGCTTGTCTCAATGGCCCAGAGCAGTGGGGAAACAGCAACTGAGATCTTAGAAGAGCCAGATCACTGGATGCTTTTTTTGCTGCAGCGCTCTGAAATCCGGGGTTCAGCTGGTGTAAATGGGTTGTTTGCACTATTTCTTCTATCTCCCGCACACATGTACAAACACACACACACACACACACACACCTCTGGAGAGAGGGATGAGCCCTACAGTGCAGCTATAGTACATTGCAGGTGAGCATTAGCACGCAGGGGTTGGTTAGAGTGACCCAAGGTGGAGAGTGGAAACAGTCTGCAGACAATTTTAGTTAGGTACGTTCGCAAAGTGTCCTTTCCAGGTTTTAGCCTATTGCAACGCTCTTCGTTGGGCAATCGACTGCTAAGTGAGATTTTGCGACTGTTTCTGTACAGACAAGAAAGGCGTGCAGCGCTGTGTGAACATGGCGGCCTTGGAAGCAGGGTGTGACACGCTTGCTTGCTTGCTTGCTTGCTTGCTTGCTTGCTTGCTTGCTTGCT